CCACGATCATTTCTATTTATTTTTAATACTAAAACACGTCATTTTCTTCCGATACAGAACATAGATGTTAATGAGCGTTTTAAGCGGTTTTTATTAATGACATATAGTTACAACAAAAATTACAAGTAATTTTTATTTATTATAAATTTTTCATATAAATATTTACATAATTTTTTTAATTATGTAAAAAAAAATATATATATATAAATGGAATAAAAATTATCCACAATCAAGATCTGTGAGTGCTACGATTTGTATAGCATTTAATAACTAATTATAACATTTATATATTAGTCTGAAATATAAGTAGAAAAATAAAATAGTTTTAATTAATATAATTATTTTATTATTTAAGTTGTGCCTGCCAACTTCAAATAAAACAGCTTCTTTAAATTAATTGTACGTATGTACAGGGTTGGCCATATTCGACGGAAAGATGTTTTTTTTTCAATCATGGGAAAAAAACACATTTTTTGCTGTTCATTTAAAAAAAAAAGTGTTGCCAGATCTTTCCGTCGAATATGGCCAACCCTGTATATGTATGTACAAAGGTAGTTATGTGCGTGAAGTTATATACTGCATACCTGTAATTACTGTTCTCGTTATTCTCGTTGTCATAATAACATGATAATAACCATGATAATAACTAGATAATTAGTATGCAGCACGCAATTAATCGGATAATGACAGTTTCTTCGCTTGTCTGTAACGTGATGTTTAATATTCGATGCTACAACCTATCGAAGACCAAGGAACATCATAAAAATGGGTCGTGCGAAAATTCCTAAAGAGATACGTGTGGACACATGGCTTATCAGGGACAAAATAAATCGTTATCGTGGAATTCTGAAATTGCATGGTTAAGTATTATTTAAAATTACAAATTTGAATAGATGTATATTCGCTCTATTTTTAACTGAATTAAATAGAGAAAAAAATTATCTTAGAATTATATCTTAATAGTCGTATTTTACATTTAAAATAAATTATATCCGTAAAAAAATTTTTTTTAAATTCTTTATAAGTATAATTTTTCAAAATTACTATATAAATTTCAGAATTTTTAAAAATTCCTGTATAATTTTATTAGAAAATTTCTTTGATTTTTTAAGTATAAATTGAAATACTTTTCAGAAATACTAAAAAATGTTACACATTTTCTAGAATTCTTTATACACTCACAAGGGAACTTGAGAAACTATCCCTCACCGATTTTAATAAACAAAGAAAAATCAGTTTTCTAAAAAATAGAACAATTTTTTAATTTCTTAATTTTGCCTATTTTTTTACTATGCCACTTTTTTTTAAGGATGTGTATGTGAGTAAATATGTAAATTTTGAAATACTAAGATGTTTCATTCTATAATTTAAAAAAAAAATTATAAAATTTAAAAAGATTTAAGAGATTGCATTTTTTAAAAATCTTTATAATTTTAAAATATAAAAAATTAAAAATATTATAAACTATTATGAGAACTTTTTTCACTAATATTAAATTATATGATGATATTAGAGAATTAATTGTTTTTGCAAATGAAACTTATTTATCTTATCTTAATATTTTGATGTCAATAGACAAAAACAGTATTTTTTTAGATACAGATAATATAGATTACATAGAATATTGTGCAAGAATCCATTTTTTACATTTCTGAAATAAAGCTCATTTCAAAATAGCTCAGTAAAGAATGCATAGATTCTAAATAGTTATATGTGCAATTGTTTTGATATGCCCAGCACGCGATGAGGAGCTACAGTTATCGCAAGCAACGAAATTGAAATCAATAGTATCCAGGAAAATCACGTCTCTAGATGTCGATGTTAAGAGACATTATGAAATTGCTAGTCATCTTCGCGATGGTAAACAGCCTATTCTGAGATTACTAGCCGATCATAAAAAAGTCTACTTGGCGGTCAAACACTTAAAACCATTCGTAAGAATAGACCAGCATTGATTTTGAATTTTTTTTAAATAATTCATATTTTTCGCGGACAGTTTTCTAATGCCCTACAATATGAAAAATATCTTAGGAAATTTATGCGGCAATATTTCAAGATTGTAATTTGAAACAACGACTCTTGGACAAACTTTACTGTAAGAAAAAGAGAAGATTGAAGCGAGGCATCGAATTACAGGTAAAACCTGACCTTACGCATTATAATAAATATTTAAGCAATTAGAATAATAATTAGCGAAATACTTAAATATTTAATATATACATATAGAGTAAAAGGAAGGGAAATAATGTTTGTCTATCTAAAGTATATCTTCTATTTTTAAAGATATAAAAATATTTTAATACAAAAGTTATATATATTTAGTATTATTATAAGAGCGTCATAATATAATGCTAATAATAACTTTTCTGTGGGCGGAAGAATAATTGATTCGTCTCATTATTCGATACATAAAGTGTTATGATTGTTAAAAAATTGATATTTTACAAGATATCTTATATTTTATATCAAAATATGTGCTAAAATAAAATATAAATAAATATCTTATATACTATTGATTTTTTTTATAAGTCTACTTTTACAAATTAATTAGATGAATCACATTATGTAAAAAAAAACATAATTCTATTTAAAAAAATAGAAGTAGCTTTAAAATCTCCAAAGTGCCTCCATCCATAAAAAAGTTATTATTATCATATTATGATCCTTTTGATATCATAAAATTTACGTAATTAAAATATTTTCATGTCTCTAAAAATGACGGAAATGCTCCAGGTGGCCAAAGTTATTGCCCATCCTTACAGTTCATATATATATATTAATATATCGCAATAATGACGTTTCTTATGTATATATTCAATATGAAATATTAAGATTTGTATACTCGTTTTGCGCTAACTTTGAGCCATAAAGATTTGCTCGTTCGCTGAATGACAAGCTGGAACATCACATTCTTTCAACTGAACTCGAAGAGCAAAGCGAATATCGACCGAACTGCGAGCAGCAACGATTGGTAGCACAATTACAGCGGTCCATCGTAAAATATGACGCAGCAAAAGACATATATGCTACATATTGGTCGATGCTAAATATCTTGAAAAAAGTAAATCTGTGATTGTCGCATTATTAATTTTCAAAGACAGTATTTTATCTCAAAAACATAAGGAATCTAATTCAAAGATTTTTTTTTATATGACTGCATCATTTTTACTCTTACGAAATCTTTGTAGGACGCGACATTTTTCGATACCCTAATGAATATTTTGAAAGAGAACCAATCTTCCCAATGCAAAGTGATGTTGAAGGTGACAGTGATGGGTCAACTAGCAACGGAGAATTTGGACGACATTAGACAAAAATATAAACGAATGTCTCGAGTTGTCTGGCATAATATGAAAATTAGAGAACAAATGTTGAGTATTGTAAACAGTCAGGTGAAGGATTTGTGGGCTTACGCACAGTCATTAGTGCGTGTTGAGGTGAATAAAATTACTCTTATTACAAATAAAAATTGTATAGAGCTATTAGTCCCTCTTTATGGCAAAAATCGTGGAAAAGATTTTTATAAAGATATAGTAAAATTTTATAATAAAATTTTAGCAAAAAATATTCATGTTAATTAACAACTTTATACATGCTGACATAATGTGCTGTTTATAGAGCTTCTAGAGTTTTACAAATATACTACTTTATAATAATGATTTGTATAATGAAGAGGTTCACACATTCAAATATTTTCTTATTTATAGAGCGATCACATTTTTACGAAAAGAGATACCGATTTATTTAACAAAACATTAGAAAATCAATTAGCACATTTGGAAAATATCTGCACTGAAGTGAAAGACGTTTTACTCGTGCGTTCATATCATGATCTACTATCAAGGTATTCTATTTTACATTCTACATATTTTATAATAATATCTACAGTTGCTATATAAAATATTTTCTTCCTGCAATCAGGTTTGAAAATCAATCTGAACACAGAATAGCTTTGCTAGCGCGATTAGACATCAATATAAAGAACCGTGAGATTTTATTAAGCAAAAAACATCAGGCGTTACAAGTTCTCGAGGGTCTCAAGTATTCCACAAAAGAACAGTAAATAATTGCTACAAACTATGACGAAGCATTGAGTATAATTAATACATTAAAAAAGGAATAATATGATTAATCTTTTTCTCCAGTAGGCACAGTTTTTTATCTCATTAACGAATTGATAATTTGAAAACGCGATATTTTTCAGATTTAAGATAAACGGTACGCAAGATATATTGGAACAAATTAAAATCGAGAAGAAACGTGAGAAAAATCTTAAGGAACAGATAACAGCTCACGGCGAATTACTCACAAATATCAGAGCGGCCTTACAGAATATGAATACAATGTTGCTTTGTGTCAACAAACAAAAAGGAATGAAGAAACCGGTCAAAGACGGGAATAAGAAAGAATTGATAATTAATGATAAAGAAGATATAGAAGATCACGACGCGTTAATAGAAATCGAACGAATGGACACAGATGGTAAAAAAAGTTATAATTAATTAAATATCAATTCAAATCTTTCTCTGTTCCTTAAAATGTTAAGATAGGAATTACGATAGAAATAATAATTAATTAAACCGTAATGTATCGGTTTCACAGTTTTAGCGCTGCTAGTTAAAATCAACCGAAAAATAAACATTCTCTTCAATATTAGTAACTTCGCGCTAGAAGAGAAGGAAGATGAAGCCCGAGATCTCTACCATACCTATGTATCGAATTATAATTCCAATTTGATATTCGGGACTGGCGAAGAAGAACCGATTGGTAAATCATCTCTTCTTTTGTCTGTAAACTGTACAGCTTTAATAATTTTTTATCGACTTACAAAATATCTCCATACAAGCCATACGAATTTACAGGACTATTGGTTGAACATGAGATGGTCGACGTTGCTATTCCAACGCGAGCAGACATCAAGTATCACAGCAGGCAAATTATAGAGGCACATCTGAAACCGGAATAGAATTTATCGCGTCAACGCTCATCACAATAAAATGCAACATTTGAAAACAATTTTTATTTATTGTATAATATTCTGCATTATCAATCAGTATAAATCTAGTATTCATCGAGGTCGTTAACATGACCGTATCCCAGCGTCTTCTTTATTATCTCGAATTTCAGCCAGGAGGGTATATATTTTCTATCAAGATGAGCCAATGGGAATCTTCTTGATAGCTCTGGCCCGTCGAAGGGATGAACCTTCTTCAATTTTCTCAACAGAAATTCCTTTTTTATTTGTTTGGGATCGCGATATTTATCCAAATAAATATTAAAGGGTTCCTTCAAAGGAAACCACGTTTGCTTCTTTATATATGGTTTAGGGAAATTATACCGAAATATCGGTACTCTCATTTTTAGCGTATTGTAATAAAATTCCTTTAGCGAGTGGTCCCAATCTGACTGGAAGAACGCCAAACCAGCAGGAGTCAATTGGTCCTGATATTTTCTATAAAAGTCCAGCGTTCTCCAGTTACGGTCCTCCAAATTCAAGCAGGGCTTAGCTTTCTTGTATTCCGAGAAATCTATGCTATGATTCTGCTTGTAAAGCACAAAGATGTATCTGCAGTAGCCAATGCCATATGGCGCTATTGGTTGCAGATAATCCACTAACTCTTCTCCTTCCTTCAAACGATTCCCAGGAATATTGCCGATGAACCAGTGACAATATTCATTGTTTTTACTGGTCAAGTTACCATCTGGCGTACACATTATCAGGCTCCACAGTGTTCCATCCTCTGCATTGTATGTTACATCAGGTGCCTTAGAAGCCTCGCTTGGCTTGATCACGTTACCGGTGTAAACCTTTACCAGCTTGTCATCCTCTAGATCGTAGCTTACGTTCAGTGGGACTACTGGCATAAAGTAAGCGTCTCCGTACAGATCATTGTAAATGCCATAGTGCTTCGCTATTCTATGAATGTGAGAGGGCCCATCCATTTGTAGCCAGTCCTCTTTCACTATCTTTAGATCCACCAACAGCTTCCTGGCGCGCGACGATTTCTCGAGCTCGGCGTTGTTCCTGCGTGCTATGATCATGTTCATCCAATCGCTCGTTATCGAGCGTCTGGTGGTCTTGGTCACCAGATAACCAATGTTCACCTTGAAATCCAAAGTCGGGTCTTCTCGATTCAGTTCCTCGAGACGCTGTTTCAAGGTACGGGCGATCGTCGGTGGTTTTCCTCGTATCCGATGGCCGTGACGAACATGTTGACCTTTCGGAATAAAGTCGCTGACGAGATAGCGCAAAAGCTTAACAGACATGTCGCGACAGATGTATGTACATACACTCGTATCCGACGCAAGCTAAATGCTCAATAATACATTCTGTTATCTATTAACGTTGATGAAAACCTTCCTTTTAAAAGCGATTTCCACCGATCGGTGGGAGTTGTGCGCCTTTGACTTCTCCTTGAGTTTATACAACGCTTGGATGACGTTCGGTCGATTTTTTAAAATAATTTTGTCAATTTTTTGATATAATCAGATATAATTAAATATAATATTGACGAAAATCCAAAAGAAAATAGATCAAACTAGAAACCTTCTAGGTTAGACCAGAATGAGGTTAGGATCAAGATTATATGCAACTACACTTTTAAGATACAATTACACCTTATATGTTCTTTCAAAGAAATTCTACTAGAGAGTCGATTGTGTATCTTGGAATGAGATAAAACTTACAAAAGTGAGCAGATTCATTAAGTGTTGAGCAATTAAATTATGAATATTCTAATAACGCTAGCGAACGTAGTAAGTGCCAAATGAAATGCACTCTGATATCAGACCTGACATTATCATCTATCGATATTCGACTTATTGATCAAGAACTCATGATCGGCTAGTAGATGGTGCCATGGTGTCAGAATTTTTCGAAAAACAGCAAAGAAAACGAGACCACTCACCACCCAGTTGCACAGAGCACAGATCGTACTCGCACGTCGCACTCCGGTGAACTCCGGTGAACTCCGGTACACGGTAGTGGTTCTTATCGTCTCTGATTTGCTCTGATTGCCTCTCAGTTGCTGTCAGTGTGGACACGATGCCCGTTACTTCGTCACATCGCCGACCGCTATGTTTGCCTTTCACGCCTTAAAGTCTCGCCCGCGATGCGTTAACGTTGCCGCGCGAATCGGACGTCCGTACGATCCCGACCGATTCGTTCTCCATGTCGCACGTGCGTCCCGTCGGCTTAAGATTAATTTGCACCGATAACGCGACGGGAATGAACTGTCCGTGGGGTACGGCGGTGCGGGACACGGTTGGTTTTTGACAGGGATTCCCCGATGCGCGACTGCGAGTTTCCTCGCGAGAACGGGCGAGCCTGGATACCCTGGATTCCCGTTGCTACTGAATTCAGCATTCTACCGTCGGCGTGAGTGAGCGAATGTAGAAATTTTTCGATACCGTGTTGCCGATTACCGTTTTCCAATCGTATTTTGATCTTTTAGAGCGTGCCGCAATGCCGATGACAGCGAGAGGAATTTTGAGCAGTGATCCATCTGTAAAAATGGTACGTCTCTCCCTCCTCTTTATAAGCCTTTGTTTTTCCGTGAATAAATTTGTGACTCGGTTAATGAATTAGTTCCTAGTTAATTCTTAGTACCTACGCACGATGGTTTTTGGTTCTTTACATTATTAGTCATTCCCTGTTAATTTTCATAATTTTTACAAGTATACCAAAATTATTAAATGATTCTTATATATAGCTTACTTTAACATCTTTAGAAAGTATTTATGAAGTTATATATTTAAAAAAAAAAAGAAAGAATATTAGCTGTTTCTAGTATTTCAAAAGAAAGAAATTTACAAGATATGAAAGATCTGTGTGTGTATATATATATATATATATCAAAGATTCAAAAGTAAAGATACCTTATTGATTAACTCAATTGAAATTAGGAGTACTCATTCCTATATTCCTAGAATGTTACTTGAACATTATTTGACATTCATATAACTTTCTAAGAATATTGTGTTTTATAGTTGAAGTTCTTATTATACGATCAGACTAAAGATATATTTTGAAATGTTGAAGTTTATACTTTATACTATTTTGAAAGTTATATTTCTTATATCGAGAAGATTGATTGTATTAAATTCTGATAGATTCGATAAATTATAAAGGTTTACTATTACATATCAAAGAAGCAATGGCAACCCAATCTTTTGAGTTAAATAATTTTGTTATTTTTTACTTTTATGTATATCAAAATGTAAATCAATCTATTTCTATAATTAGTCCTTTTAAAGTCCATATTAACATATACCTTTAAATAATTAATTAAATTTGACTCAAATTTAATAAATTTTCTTGAATTAAATTGTTTAACTCCACTGTTTAATTATTTATAAATTAATGATAATACATATTGAATAAAAACAGTGACGATGAATAGAAATGATTATAAATAATTAAAATTGGATATAATTTGATATTATGAGTTTAACAGTCGTGTACAAATCAGACACTTTTTATCAAGCTTCTAATCGAGATAATCAGAAATTTAATTACGATAAATAATTATATTTCTGATTAGTATAATTTAGGCCGCAATTTGTTTGTGCCTCTTGTTGTTACAACCAAGACATTTTTCTCAGTGTACTGCTATAAGTCATGAATGGGTAATATAAAATGTATACCAAATATAAGGCATCAATTCTTGTTATGCTTACATATTTGTAAATTAAATTCAACATATTTTAAAATTAAATTAATACAGAATTGATAGAGAAAAAGAATGTTAGTTCTCAAGATTGTATAATAGTTGCATTGCAACGAAATTTCAAGGATGCATGATGGTTTTTAAAGACTTTTTCAACTTCCAGTATATAAGAGACAAGTAAGCAGCGAAAACTGTAAATATGTCGGCTTGATTGCCTGCGCAAGATGAGATTCAATAAGCAGGAGCTATTGACTCTGGCTACGCAGCCTTCGCAAAAATTCGAGAAAGAGGGTATCCTGTACGTAAGAGAACGGCAAGAAGGCTTCTTTCGCAGGACGGAAAGTGAGTTCTTGGAACGTCCACAAACGCAATAAATACCTCTTCAAATTATAAGATCAATTATAGCGATAGAATTTATCTTGGTGAATGATTACCGATGCATGATTATTCTTTGTTCAAGGCTTGACGATAAATTTCTAAAAATTCTTTATTCTTTATTGTTTGACGTAGAGACCTTTATAGAAGATCTTACGATTCAGATTATCGAACGTATTAGACTATTATTACATTTGTCCGTTTTTGTGGTACGAAAAATTTTCAAGTCTGTTGATTGACTGTAGGATAGAGAGACTTGAAGACTTGAGAACTTGTCTGTCTCGCAATTAACATTCTTGAAAAATTTATTATAAAAATGGATATAATATTTAGCCTTACAAGTATTTACAAAAATGGCTGCATTTGGTTCTAGCTTTGTTTTAGTAATAAAAGAGACATGATTCATTAATGTCGTTCGAAGTCTTTTTATATTTATTGATTGGAATTGTTTGATATTTAGGCTCATATACCCTTAACGATTTATTAAATGTTACATTATGATAGAATATGTTGCACGAAAGAGATTTTATCGGCTCCTATGAATTGTTCCATTTGACTTATTCGATGCCCCATGACATCAGCGGAGAGACTGATAATTTATCCTGTTTCTCTGTTCTTTCGTATTACGGCATGGCTTTGCACGAAGCAGACTATTTGTTTTGTCATACATTGAATGACGTTAGCATTAGAAACTTCGTGAAGGTATCAAGAATAGAACGAAGTCTATTCGATTAATTTAAAACTATAAGGTGAGGTGATACAATTTCGAACACGGTACAATTCACAAGAAAGTAAAATTTGAAGATTTCCGAGGTTCAAGTTTGATAATTCTAATCTCATCATGTAGAGGGAGTACCTTAAAGAGGTACCAAAATGGAAAAAGACCATCGAACTTGAAACTAAAAAAAATCTTACGTCTGTTTTTATCGGTAAACTCTCTGAACTGGTCTATAATGCAATAAATCCAGTGCAATAAGTTCAAATAAAAATAAACATATATTTTTTATTTCATTTTAACTTATCTCATTTTAACTTATCGCACCGTGTAATTCAAAGAGTTTTTTGATAAAAAATAGGCCTTTAATTTTGTTCAATTATATCATATTTGAAATTACGACCTTATCCTACATTATCTAAAATTCTACTCTAAATTAAATACATACTAAGATATCTGAGTAAAAAATAGATAACTAAATGATGTTTTTTAATATTACGAGCCAGAAATGTTCTAATAACAACGAGAATTCGTCAAAAAATAAAATCAAAAGAGTTATTTAAAGATAATATCTATTCCTTCTTTCTATGAATTGACGACGATAAAAATAATCATTCATTAACGAGATATTAATAAACTGATAACAAAGAGATCCGCAGAAACCTACATTTCATGCGATTTGTTATAAATCGATACGACCTGACATATAATCGCAACAGTTAAATTAACTCACTCGCTGCTCTTTCTCCTTGCCCTTTTACTTTATTAAGATGTCGTTGTGGCGGCTATTAGCAATCTCGTGCAATTTTCAGGTACAGGTAAAAAATCCGAGAACAAAAATCAGAAAGGAAGGTCGCATAAAAGTCTACGAGATCTCAATTGCGTTACTGCCGGCTTGAGCAAAGGTACATTTGCCCGAGTGCATTTTGCTGTAATATGATACATACTTATTGGAAACCATCTCCACGCTCCTACTTCACAATTTTTAACGCGATTAACACGCTCTTTGACGGCCCGACTAATCTTGATTAACGTGTGTGGACGCATTTCCTTCGACACTTAAAAAACACTTGCAAGAGTTCGACGCACGCTTCAGTGAGATCAATCTCGCAATTTATTTATGGCATATTGAAACAAAGATTGGATAAGGAAAATTAGATAATCTAACGAATAAATAAAATATCCAAATTTTCAGCTCGGAAATTAATTTAACATCTCTATTCTTTCGTATTTAATATGTATCTAATTTTTACACTAAAATTATTAATTTGACTTTTTTGCTTAATATGTAATGTTTGCATGCAGTGAATTTATTACTGAGCGCTTGATTCTCGATTTATCGGAATAAAAACGAAAATTCTCAATATTAACAAACTCTCACAGCTATAATATTTTGTAATTTGTCTTTTGGTTTGCATTATTTAAATTGTTATCAGCAATTAATATCTCAGTATTATATAGATTGTGGGATTATTTTTTTAAAAAGTTAATTAAGTGCGAAAGCTTGATAAATTCAAGACAAAGATCGCTTTCGGTGGTAAATCGAGAATTGCATGTGAAATGAAATGTTTCGCATGTTGTGTGCATTTTTCGATAGAAACTCTGGAAAAATAAGGAAAAATAAGGAAAAATAACGTAGAAGTTTTGATTTAATCCACCGTTCACGAGACCCGCAGCGTTTTAAATTTAAAGAAAATAAGTAGAAAATATTTTTTAAATACTTGTATACATTTTACATTTATATCTTTACGTAGCATGTAAGAATCTTGTTTTTAGTGCTTGTATTTGTAAATACCTGTAATTCAAGAGCGTATCAATCGCATTGATTTTAATGAAAAGAATAAATATAGTAGAAATCAAAGACCACAGTGACGTAATGTGATGGAATGATAAGGGTAATCGATCTCATGAGAAATCATGTATTTTCGGAAGAACATAATATTTTATGTAAACTATAAGAAAAAAAATAATCTTGTCACGATTATCTGGGAACATAATCAAATGTTCCCTTCCAATTTTTATAAGCTTTCAATATATAAGAAAAAAATAAGAGATACATATTTTTTTAAGTGCTTTCTTATTTTATTCTTTATTTTTTATGTGTGCATGTGTTAAGAGAATAAACAATTTTTTTAATTTTTTATAAATAAAATATTTTTTAAATCACTATTATTTTTTTTATTATTATAATTTTTAAATCATTACTATAAAATACTTTTGAAATCACTTAACTTTTATTTAAAACATTTTTTTGTATCTTTGATCATTTAGACAATTTTCACTCAGGAAAAATCAATTCTTTTCAAGAGAGAATTTTATTTTTTTGAACGCACGAGAAAGTACTTATAAAAAATATGTGGTTCATGTTTTATCTATATTTTAATATTATATATCCACAGCTTATTAAAATCAGAAGAGGACACGTAGGTATGTTCTTTATTAATATTAACCAGTATTCTCAAGCGCAGTAAACTGAAGTCCAATTGCTAATAAATCTTTAACAGATCTTTATTTGGAGAGCCTGATCTTTATTTGCACATTATTATTAATGACTGTTTCGATGCGACTGATAAGCTCTTTCGAAAAACATGATCATTAATCGCTAGAATGTCCATAATGAACCAAACGGATGCAAAAGATATTGTCCTCCTCTTCCTCTGTTTCTTTTTCTGCCGCTTATTATCGCTCACAGAAATCCCCTCTCTAATGAAAATATCCCAATATGAACGATCGCGCTTAAGCCGCTGCTGCTTTGCTTCTCTTGTGCAGTAAGTCTCGAACGATGGTGCAGACTGCGAGGCAACCTTCTATTCTATTTCAAATCGCGGGAACAGTGGTCGGAGCCGCTAGGAGTGATCATACTGGAACAGTGTACGGTTCGTGTGGATCCGTCCAGCAATCAGGTTCCTTACGGATTCAGCATAGGCAAGTATCATCATTTGTAGCTTCTTGTATTTTCCTTTCCTCTCCTCTCTTTCTTCCTTATCACTGTCACGATGCATTGATGACATACTCGTCGTCATCTGCATGTGTGCATGCCTATCTCGCTTTCACGTAGCATGCAAAGCGACGTTAAAAAGCACAGAAAGGGAAAAATGTTGCAGTTTTCGACGGAGGCTTGTTTCAACAGTTAGGCGCCAACACGGCCGAGGAACGGGACAGTTGGTTGCAGGCGCTGCAGCTGGCCAGCTACGAGTGTATGCGGAGCCAGTTGTTATCGTTGCGACAGCGCATCGAGGCCTTCAGCGGGCACAAACACGACACCGATATACAGATGTTGCGGCTGCAGCGCGGGACCTTCACAGGTGTGAACGCTTTAATTGTCTCAAAATTGAAAGTTTTTTCTTGTCTGGGGAACGCACAATTTTTTTCACGCCTTCTTTAGCATATTGATTATTGTAAGCTCTTTAATCTTAGATTACTTAAGCAAAATTTGACAAAAATTAAATTAAAAATTTACTGACAAATTTAATATTAAATTCGTGGAGTTAATTAATGCAGGATTTGAGAGATATTTTTGTTGAATTTTTATTAATAAAATATCATTGCAATGTTTTTCGCAGAATACAACTTTGTCATTTGTTTAAAGCTAGTAAAGTTCATTACAGCTACAAGTATACGTAATAATAAAATTGTATTCTGTGTGAATCGCTATTGTTTCACGCTTAATGCATGAAGCATAAATAAAATTTGACGTATTCATTGGTCTCGTGAATGGATACTGAATTTGTTTTTTTCAGATCCAGCGGAAGTACCAATGTGCGAGATATCATTAGCCTGCGACAATCTGTTGTGTGATGGACACGGCCGACCACCCACTCCCGTTTTAGAGATAGATGTACAGTCTAAATCTTCCAAAACTTGGATTAAGTATGCACGAACGGAAGTTGTAGAGGTAACTACAAAAAATTCTCGAAAACTGTTTCCCCTTCAAGTTGTAATTCTATAAGAGTTTCTTCGTGACCTGTTTCAGCGAAGTAGTAATCCGAATTTCTTAACTACGGTAAGCTTCCGCGCTAGCGATGGATTAACCACTGAAACGAAAATTAGGATAACAGCATATGACGTCAGAGAAAGAGTCAGCCAAACCGCAACTCCAATAGGAAGTGCGGTAGTGACATTCAGTACAGTGCAAGACACTCCTAGGTAATTCTAATTTGTGAATATCGATTTAATAAATTCGAAAATCCTGCATTGGAATATAAAATTTAAAAATTTTTAATTTAATTACATGTTTTTTTAAATTAAAATTTTATATATTTAAGAAAATGTATTTTCTTTGATTAACTGCATGTATCAAAATTATTTAATTAATTGTGTTGTTTCAACTGTTTTTATTTTTGTTGGATTTTTTTTTAGATTAAGGATACCATTAAAATCAGCCAAAACAACGACAGTTGGATTTTTAACAATTAATGTGTGGAATCTGGAAGCCGAGGATAAAGGGAATAGCACAGAGAGTACACCATCGCGAAATGCAGTATACAACAGTAATAATCAACAAGTAATAAGTTAATTTGATCAGTGTTTCTAGACAGAATTGTCATTATTTTGTTTATACAACCATTTAATTCTTATCGATATGTAAACATTTTTTTAGCTGCCTTCACATAGACGCTCACAATCGTTACCTCCAAGATTAGGGACAAAAATTAAGTTCCCACATCAAGGCCAATTAAAACTTCTCTTTGCGAATCCATTTGTGCAGACTTACAGGTAAATTTCTACACTAATAAATCGACGTTATTATAAATGCATTTTATAGCCCTCATCTGATCTGGTTATCGTAGATTCCACTCCGGATTAGGAGGTGATATATGCGTACATGAGATTATGGCAGAAAGTAAACTTTGTTTCCAATTTCCACAGCATTTATTGTGAGCATATTTCATCTGATAAATAGTAAAAATCGTGAAAAATCATAGTGAAATAACGTCGCGGTTAATTGCAGAGCTATTTGGATACAGGAAGAAAAGGAATTATTACAAGAGGTAGCTGGAATGGGAGAATTGAGAGAGCCATGGCATACAAAGCAAATCGAATTGCTCGATCGTCATCTTCACTTGTTACATTTGTATTCCCAAGCCAAAGAAAACTTAGCCGCCTACAAAGGTGAGTACATGTTTATTTCGTAACAAATAGTTCAATATGTTCGTGAAAGAAAAAATGAATTTTAGCTCGTCTCTAAAAATTTAATGTTCTAATGTTTGATGATTTGCATTTTAGGGAGTTATTTCAAGCAGTCGTCGCGTAAGAACGACCGTACTCTCGAATTTGCGCCTTTGAATTTACATCTTCAACGAATGTGGGTTCACAACGATACATTGAACAAATGTGGATTTTATGATTTTATTAGCGTAGGAGCGTTTACAGCCCATTCCCATAAAAGCAAAAACGGCGGACTCATAAGGTACACCCTTATTCAAATGATCGTCAAAGTATATAAAATACAATTACAGTTTTTGGTAATATTGTTTTTTGTCTGCAGATTGGTGCAGGCACTAAAAGAGTCGCCTATGCGAAGTAATCAGCTATATCAGGGAACATCCAAAATTACGATGGCGCATGACGCGATCCAAGCGATCAAACAATTACGCCGGGACGTTGTAGAAGCAATGAGATCTTTGATGAAACTTGCCAAGGAGAAGCAGACGAGTGGCATGTTGCCGATATGCGAGGATATGATCACAAAAACTAGGATCTTACTTAGTCTCTGGGATCCCGGCTTAGTAGAGGAGGCTTTAACATTTTTGGAAGAGTACAAAGTCGCGAAAGTTCAGGAGAATTCGACCTCATCTTCGGACGACACTTTGACGTTGGATTTTAAAATTAATCAATCCTTGTCACCCTTTAAACGAATCACGCAGCAACTTAATTTCGACTTAAAGAGCCCCGATTTCGACGATTTCGTTACGCCTGATACTCCTGAATGCGTGCAAGATATCTGGTCGAAGAACGGCATCAGAAATGGCGAGTATACTTCCATAGCGTACTCGAGAAATGAAGCGCCGAACAATAACACCGGAGAGGGCGACGTTGCGGAAGAGAATTTTGTAATATTTCCGGATGTGGAGGATTATCCTAAACAGGCAGAAACGGAAACTGACGAGAGTATTCAGCGAAATCACGACAACGAAAGAAAGGAAGGCTACGACGACGAGAAGGAAGATTTGAAGAACGATACTGATCCATGCAAGCGTTTCTTAGACACTCAAAAAATGTGCAATTCGCCATCCGCAAATTATTACAAACCTACAGATGAGCCGGAGCCGTGGGATCTCACTCAGTTGAATATTGAGGCGAGCGTCATGTGCCTCGTGTCTAAGGTGAAGTTTCTCTGTGGCAGATGCAGCAGTCCAGCCGTACGATTGCGTAACAAAGGTAGTCTGGGCAGGTCGCAGAGTTTAAAGGGCTGCTTGCCGAGCAATCGGCATAATGTTGAAGTCGTTACCATTCAGCCAAAGAACGGTATTAAATGTGAGGAATCAAACAAATTGCTTGAGGAATCAAACGAGCTGCAGCAGTCCAGCCCAGGATTGGAGAAATCAGCGCTCTCCAAGGCAAAGGAAGGTAAGGAAGTCTCCTTATATAATGTTCTTTATGTAAAAACGTAGTAAAACGTAGTAAAGACATACAACATAATACATTATTAGGGATAACCGATATTTATCGTAACTCGTCTTCCAATGAAGTGTGCCAAGCAGTCGATTCGATGACGCGTGTGATCAAAAGTAATTCGGGACAGAGGAACAAATTTACTGAGGGCCTAGACTTCGCGTCGATTGTCGATTGGACGAGCGAGCTCAGGCCGAGCATGAAGAAGCTGCGGCAAGCTATGGACGGTCTGCTGAAAACTGCCAGACTGACACATTCCGTATTTCGCGTACAGGAGGATTCAAAAACGGCGCAACGCGCATGCAACGTCCGATATAGACGAGATGTTTGCTTTAGTCAAGCGGTGAGTTTATCGTTATATTATTCAATTTGGAAAGATATGTAAGAACATTTGAGAATAACCCCATAAAATTTCAGCTAACTGCCTTAGTAACCGGCATAATGGCGAAATTATGGTGTCAACGACCCGATCCGATGTTTCTGCTAATACTTACAACTCTGGGACCATTGGTCTCCTTTGAAGGCCTTCTTAGCTATTACGGAGACGAGATAGACATGTGGGGCGACATGGCTGTAGCGGTCGAAGACACGCATACTGTTACGTTTACTCTGTCCAGATGCGGCATTCAACCGAGGTAGGCAGAAGTTTTATCACATTTTTTAATTGATCCTTAAACGCCTTTTCAATATGGCATATCCAGTTTTTTTCCGATACTTTTCCATTGCTTAATCAAGCAAACGTTTTCCTTTATTTCGATTAGATAGTTAAGTATAAAATGCATTATAGTAAAATCGACTCGTTAAATTTAACTTTTTCTTAAACTTAACTTCTTCTAAACGTAGAAACTTTTCTGTAAGTCTATACAAAAGTTTTGACAAACTTTTTTTTTTCGTTTTGCTGAATACTCTCGTCGGTTCCCGTTTCTGTCTAGAATAGTTTCCACTCCGGAAATATTACGAAATTCTCTTCCGCAATATCATCCTTGCCCCGGTGTTACTGTGGGATGTCTTCTTTATCAGTATGCTGTGAAAGCATACTTATTATTTCTGATGTTGTTCTTCGATTAGATGTCCTGAGTACTTGAAAGTGTCGGACTTAACAATCGTTGAAATCGAAATTTAATAACTGCGTGTTAATTTTATGTAAATTATAAACAATTGAATTGGGTTGAGTATGCTATACACCAATTGTTGTTTCCATAGTGAAGTTTAAGAGTTAAAAAGAAATTTCCACCTAACGCAAATGTTATTCTTACAGAGTTGAAGGAAAGTCTAACGCATTCCAGCTTCCTGTGCCGCGCGTAGTAGGCTCGCGAAGTGCGCTAACGGTAATCCTCCCGGTTCCAGACGCGATTTACTCTCTCTTGCCATTAGTGCCCTCCTCAAGACAAACGTTGTCGTTCAACGTAACTCCCGTGTTCTTCAATGTCGGTATCAACGAAATGGCTTCCTTAGCCGAGAGCCTTGGCACCACAAAACCACAGGAGAAAAGCAATATGGACAACTTTGATAGATTGAACGAATATTATTTAAGATTTAAGAAACTGAATTTACCAACGGAACCTACATCTACGCGTTGTAAGTATATAGTATATAGTATATAGTATATAGTACATAGTATATAGAACTAACTAAGCTTATTGTAAAGATAATAATCTAAGAAATATTATTTAAAAATATTTAAAACTTATAAGATATTTTCTTTGAACGCCTTTTAGATTTTTGCATTGTTTACATATTTTTTGTTAATAGATTCTAAAATTGATATATTTTTTTATTTCAGTTGCCGCTAGGTCAATTCTGGGCCACACATTATCGGATATGATGGTGAATTTAAAAACGTGTGTGCAAGAAAGAGTCAATAAGAATGTAGAAATCTTGCAATTATCCTCGCAAATATGTCGAAGAATGCGTGGTTTGAGATTTACCAGCTGTAAAAGCGCGAAAGATCGGACTAGTATGTCTATCACTCTTGAACAAGTCAATATATTGTCATCGGAATATCATCTGGCTGAACACGAGTACATGAGGGCTCTCGACTGTATGCGAAGGTAAGTGTAAAAGGAAGAGAAAAAGATATTTGAACGGAGTCGAATTAATCATTATACGTAATTAAATTTTAAAAAATTATTTTTCTATTCTCGCGTAATATACGAAATAATTTTAAATATTTTTTTATATTATTGGCAATTAGGATTGTCTCGTAAATTTTGAATTATATTATTTGATATATATTATTTTGAAAATGCCTGATGAATGCATTGTTTCTTTCTGTTTTAGCGAGGGCTGTCGCCGGGAGAACACGTGGAAGAATATCGGTGTGCGCAAGTATGCGTTCAACAGCTTGCAGATTCTGACGCTGCCTAGACTCTACCGACCGCCGACCGGCACGTACGGATCTGCCCAGACTTAAAAAGAATCCAATTAGCGTTATGTACGCACATTGCACAAAATTAAGTTTGACTTTCTGGCTGTGTAATCGGATTAACTTCCGTAGTATGTGCTAAGTATATAGTACTTGTTACAGAGTAGCAAATTCTGAAGATGCGTGACGTAATTCTTTAGAGAATTTATTGGGGACACGCGATTGGCAAGTGTTAGGCATACGAAATGCCCCAACCAGGGACGTAGCAATGATAACAAAAAGAAAAAGCTTCTGCGTTTGCTTTTTATTTTTATTTTTTTCGTTAAGATTGCTTTTTTGTTTACGCGTTTTGAGATTCAACTAATTGTTGTGTATAGAAATTTATATATTTTGTTTTCGATCATAAGAGCTATTAGCTACGCCCTCTCCCATCCCTAAGGCACAATTTAAGTGAATTATTGCCTAGATTTGCAATGTAGAACCGAAGTGAATTAACGTGAGTTTGGTTCTATAAAATATAAGCGGTAAATTATTTACGTAATATGTATTGTAATGGGGCTGGCCGGAAATGTAGGGTGAATAGGATTAGAATGAAAATTTTTTTGTCACTTCCACTCTTGTATCTTTTGAAAATTCTTTCAGTTTCTATTGTTTTCTCTTATGCTATTTCTATTGTGCAGGTTTTTAATTTTGATTCAATTCACCCTTCACTCCATCCCGCGATTGTTGGCGAGTTTTTGCAATATCATAAACACCTTGAATACTATAAACGCTAAATTCGCGTGTTTGGTATAAATATTCAGACAGCCAAGTTTGCTTGAATAGATTTTGACATTTTTTGCTAACAAAAAATGTCTACTGATAAATTTTATCAACAGTAGACCTATTTTGTGACTTTTTACAATTTTATTAGCTAGGGATGTTGTTGCGCAATTATTTTACATAGTGAAAAAGCTGCGTAACGATAGCATAACGAACTGTTATTAAAAGTTACAGAATAGATCTACTGGAAGGTTACAAATTTAATGCAGAATCTATATATGCTGCTGATAGAACGTCACAAAGAATATAACAGAATTTGTTTATATTTGACAGCAGATTGGTGGCAAGAACCAAGCAGATTTATTTATAGTTTGACGCAGAATGATAGCAGAAATCGAGCAGAATCTGTGTTCAATGTAAACTTCTTGTTAAATGAATTGTTATTTGTGCGGATCTTTTAGGAGGATTAATATTTACAAGACGTTACGCCATTTAATCTGTCAAAGAAACTTCTGTGAAAGTCACGACAGTGATAAAAATAAGCCGAATATATGAAAATATTTTACGAACTCCATTTAATATTTACATAACTTTGACAGCAGATTGATAGTAGGAGCAGATTTGATAGCAGAAATCAAGAATCTGCGTTCAACAGACTTTGCTCAATTTCTGCCATTAATCTACTATCATGTTGTCGATAAGCCCTTCCGGCTGTAGAACACTTAATGCGAATATAAAGAGTATTAAACCTATTAAATTTTTTTAATAGAATTTGTTACCAATCTGCTAATTCCACGGATAGTTTGTTTACTAGGTATATTTCGCAAAGCTTGTATTATAAATAAATCACAAGTTATCAATCATATCCGTTGCAGCATTGTGATTTTTAGTGTTTATCATATTCAAAACACGGTATTGCAAAAGCTCTCTGTTATATCTAATTCTATTCGAATCTATCGTATTCGTTGAATCGATTATTCGCCTTTACAGGAATAATTAGCTCGGTGCCATTTTCTGCCATATTATTACTCATGGAATATTCGGTAATATTAGCATCGTTAGCATCGACTTCGAACAAATATCGTGAGATCATATAAATATTATTCGGGAACGAATGACGTTGTATTTAACGGGAGAACGTTATTTTCACACGCGTCTGTGCGCGCGTGGGAATTTCGATATTATATCCAACATTTTGTCATACAAATGAATCCAAACACATAAACACGTAGCCGTATTTCCATCCCAATTGAATATCCACTAATGCGTTACCATATCCGTAAACATAGACGGTAGATTCCAACAGGTTGGACAATTGTTTTCAATAAATTATTAATTTTAACTGATATGTCGAATTGGCCGTTTTTCTCATTTTTTTTCCGATTAGGCGACACAACAGAAATCCATATCCTCTTAAAACGTAATACGTCCAGTTAAAAAGTAAAATTTAAAAAGTTTTATAGAAAGATATCTATGTTTTTTAACTCAAATTAAATTTTATCGAGAGAAGAAAACTTTCAGCCGAAAATCTCGCCTCGTTCGCCACCCGTGCTTATTATCCAGCACCCTGTACTCGCACATTTATCATATCACGATCTCATATACGACGTATCTATTACGATCTTATGCTCACTTGGAATATGAGTGGGTAGGGACCGCATAACAGGCATGTGGGGATACGGATGGCGGCGCGCGAGACAATATATACCTGACGAAGGCCTGGTGTTGCCGAACACCTGCTCCACACCGGGTCCGAGCGGACCTTTGTCCAAGGGCCGATATAAAACTCGTACACCGTTTCGGTCGCGTCAGTAAGCTTTCGAGAAGCGGTCAAACACATCGTGCCAATCCTCGCACTGCATGTGACTTCGCGACTTGACTGAACGATCGAGATAAATCGGATAAATCGGATAAATCGTGTAAAAATCACGTTGAATCACGATAAATCCGTTCACCAGTTGTGTCAAATAGTAAGGTGTTCGTAAAAAATTCTTACTGAGGAAATTCAAAATTGAGGTCCCGGTGAGAATTTTCAAAAATTTGAAGATGCGAGAATTTAAAAGAGATTAATTAAAAAGGATCTGTTAAATATCGAGTATAAATATCCGAGGATCTGTATAAATGATAAAATAATACACATCGCGAGGATTTATAAAATAAATATATTTCCCCGAGGGGAAATATATATGAATTGAGAAGTATAAAAATCCGAAGATCTTGACTGAAGATATTCAAGAGATCGTGGAGATGGCGAATCTGTTGTTGCTGTTATCAGCGATTATAGCTGCGAATACGTTGATCGCTGGCACGCGCGCGGATGAGGATCTCAATAGTACGATCAAACTACTGCAGGAGCAAGTGAGCGCGTTGTTGGATCATCGACAGGAGGATTACAATGCTTTGGAGGAGAGTTTGAAACAGGCGATGGAGAAGAACACCGAACTCATCGTCCTTAGGAACGAAGTGAAACAATTGAGGTAAGACGCAATTTGCTTCGTCTCTTTTTGTATGCAGTGTATTGTAATACAATACACATGTACTAGAACTCGTCAAGTGCATAATTATGCCTGTGCGAGAAGCCTTAGAAGTTAATTGAAGTCTAAGGTTTCTATGGGATCAATTTTTTTACAAAGGTCGCAACAGAGTACAGTTTTTGTATTTCTATATAAAAATAAATAAAATTTAATAAGATCTATTTGACTTTAGATAAATAATAATGTTTTGATATAATAATAATATGATTTAAATATATGTAGTATAATATGATTTAAGTATATTATCAAGTTATCTTGATAATAAGAGATAAATATATAGATTTAAATATATAGATTTACTTTCAGTTTCACCCTTGTTTTAAAAGTGCGACGGTCTTAGTTGTTTCCTCTGTTACTTTTACGATACACATAAAAAAAATACGACTATTTTAAAATGAATGGACACCACAAAAACATATATTATAATCGTATTCCCTCGCACGTATAGGAAGGAAGTGAACGCTCTTCGCGGCGGAAGTGGCAACGAGGCGAAGAACGAGCGATTGAGGGTGCGATGGCTAGGCAGTGCCGTGACGGAACTGCAGAGCGAGGTCGCGGAGGTACTCAGGACTCGGAACGCCAGCGAGGAGCTTGCCGAGCGCTCGAGGATGAGGAGTGAGTTGGCTCTGCTGAAGGGTGACGTCGCCGAGGTAGGCAGGAGTATACGCGATCTTGGTGGAAGGATCACCAAGATCGAGGCCACCCTTGGTACCATCAGGCTCGACATCGCCGCGACCAAAGAACGCGCCAGCCTCCTGTCCCGCTCTTGCGCGGATGTCAGTAGTCAGGTAAATTGTTCTCTTCTCGCAGATGTTAGGAAATAAGGCTGATACCAGAGAAAATAAAACAGAAGATGATAGGCAGGTGGTACCAATTTGCAGTGCCGTTGAACCAAACCAGGTGTGGAATGAGAGGAGAAATGGAGCTTTACTTATTACAAAGAATATACTTTATTTTGAAGCAACAATTTAATCATTTCATTTCTCAGTTGTTTTCCATGAAATAAAATTTATATCAAAGTATAAATTTATTAGTTTTTCGAGTATTTTATTTTAACTGTATATTCAGTTAAAATAAAGTCGTTAAATGTTTGAGATAAAATTAAATGTTGCTAGAATTAGAGTTCTCTCCTCTTTCTCCGCACATCTATATATAAAATCTAGATGAATGATGTGTCCTACGTATAAAAACTTATATTACGTATGTTCTTCAATACCATCATTGACGATATTTAGATCTGGAATTCCTAGATGTGCGCGTGCCGCTCAATGACTGTGGCCGATTTTTTTTCGCTCACAATAATTCAAGATCGATTTCGCGGTATGCGTATACACGCCGAAGGGCTCGGCATGCGGCTGCTCGCGCGCGGACAACGGGCGTCCATGTAGATAACGGCTGCCGCTACCATTTAGTATTTACGGCAGGAAGAAGAAAGAGGGATGTATGGTCGGTGCACCTGCGCCTTGCACGGGGCGGCCAGCTGCTTCATTCCTGTTTCTCGTTTTGCCGCTTGGCAGCTGCTTCTCAACCTCCTCCTCCTCCACTTTCCCTTCCTCCCACCTCGCCCGCACAACGGGCCTTTCCTTTAAGCCGCACGCATATGCCTCTCGGGTCCACCGGCCTACCCTTCTCTCTCCTCTTAAATACTTGCCACCCTTTGCGCTTCTATCTTCAACTCTCAATCGTCATGAGAAATCAAATATAATAAAATTTAAGAATAAGATTTGTAAAGAATGAGAGCTAAATGGGAGTCATTGGTTTGAATAGAGATGGAAGTTTATAGATTAAAATTTATCTCATACAATTTGTTATTCGAATTTCTTTGCATAAAGTATTGGATTTTTAAATAGTTTGCAGAGAAAAAGAAAGAATAGATAGCGGAACATTGTATTTGCTATAATTCAATTATTTTAAAAATGTAAATAATATATGAAATTATATATATATATATATATATATTTTTTTTTTTTTCAAATAATATATGAGATGATATAAAATTAATATTAAATTGTTCTTTACACAAGAAAAAAGGATCTATGCATTTGTGCGCGTTTATAAATTCGTTTTTGATCTCAAATAGAAATTTCGATCAGTGATCCTTACCGTCTGTGGTATTTGACACACGCTGGCGACCGCAGCCACACGAGTCGACAGCTGTGAGACCCTACTCTCACGCATTCCACAAGCGCGTGTGTATTATACACGTGCAGTCACGCATACCACGCAATCAAGGACCACCTGTAAAAAGTAGATGGATTAAAGAGAATCGGTAGAAATTTATTTTGTGGGACGAAGAAATCATAAAATTTAGAGTTACACTACATTAATAGTTACACTAATCGGTTTTTAAACTTGCTTGTTTATTATCCTATCTTGTCTTTAAAGATCTAAAGTAATAGAGAGATATATTAGAATTAGAAAGTAGTCAGCGTTATGTTGTTGTACAAAATGCAAAACAAACTATTTTTATTGCAGTTAAGCACGGTACAGATCGAGCTAAAGTCCTTAAAATGCGAGCCTATGCATCCTGGTCAACGGCAGGATCCGCAAAAACCGGAATATCACAATAAAGCTGATATCTTTCGCAACGAAGTGAGCGGATCGCACGAAGTTACGTCAGCTCGAAGACACAGCCATTCCCGTGCTCTGGCTCATCGCACTCGTCTCGAAGAACGACTACGTAACGTCGAGCGGAAGATTTCTGTGGTAGCGCGGAAGCGTGCGATAGTGGAGAAGCGAGTGGTGTACGAAGACCGTGAGCATCTTGAAGAACGAGTAAGAAGTCTCGAGCTGGCGCAGGTGGAGCTTTCGAAGAGAGTATCCAATGCCAGTCGAGATCTGGTGTCGATGAACGAGTTGGATGAGTCAGTGGTAAGACTGTACGACTCAGTTCGTCTGCTCGAAGAGGCCGTTTATACCAATCGTTCCGAAGTGAAGCGAGAACTGGCGAGGCTGGAAATAAATGCGGCACGAAAGGCGGCCGAGTTGTCGCTGACCAGGGAAGAGCTTAGTAATCTTCGACAAGAAAAGAGCGATGTGCAGCGGAAGAGTTTGGACGCCTTGAATGAGACCCTCAGCCAATTGAATCTTTCTCGAAATTTGGCTAAGGCGGTGAACGTCACGCACGAGCTAGAACAAGTGGAAGATCAGTATCGTCTCATGATAGATTCCCTTCCGGGAAATTGCGAGGAACGCGACGGCTTGACTTTGCTGGCACCTGGTCCCGGAGCACCCCTGTTGGCTTCCTGCCGCGCTGGCTGGATCGTTGTGGCCCGCAGAATTGATGGCGCGGTCGACTTCGATCGTACCTGGAATGAATACTCGGTTGGTTTCGGTTCACCAGTTAGCGAGTTCTGGATCGGCAACGAGGCGATGCATCGGCTCACCCGCGACAACTGCAGTAGGCTGCGAATTGATCTGACCGATACCTACGGCGTACACTGGCGCGCTGAGTACGAGCGTTTTACAATAGATTCCGAAGAGACCGGTTATCGGTTGCACGTATCCGGTTATTCGGGAAACGCGACCGACGCATTATCCTATCAGGACGGCATGGCGTTTAGCGCCAAAGATCGTGACATGGATATTAGCACCACCGACTGCGCGGCCAACTATCGAGGTGGATGGTGGTTCAGTCATTGCCAACACGCCAATCTCAATGGTAGATATTCCTTGGGCTTGACGTGGTATCAATCGACGACCAATGAATGGATGGCAATCACATCTTCCGAGATGTTAGTGCAACGGAAACAAGACTGTTAATGATGCCGAAGCTATTGACGTTCATTTATGTTTATTTATAAATTCGAATTGATAGAATGACGCTGACTGATAAACAGAAAATTTTGAAATCTCCGTTAATAAGCTGTGTTTAAATCGTGCACCTCATACTCAGTTCACAAGAATACTTGATTATCATACCAAAGAGTTAAATATGTAATTTAAAGACTTTACTGTAAATACGTTGTATAGTTATGCACAAACTCTGTAAACATGCACAGAACTTATTATATCTGTATAGTAATAAAAAGTCATTGAAAGTAACTATAACTTGCTTAAATAAATCACATATTAAAAATATTTTTAATTATAAAAAAAAGATTGTTAACCAATTATCACATTTCTCAATATTTAACAGATTTTTTTGTGGCTAACGCATAAGATAAACGCTATTGCATTATTCCATAGTATGTGCATTAATTTCGCTGCAGTTTTTTCCCACATTTCATCCATCTAGCATCGCCGCCTTTGATGGAAAACGTCAGTTGTTAGAGGCGGGAACGTTTCACAACCAGTAATAAGCAATTGCGACTGCCATTCATCTTTGTACTCTGAATTCGGATCTATATTTAGATAAACGTATTATTTACACGCTGAATGCATTTGGAAAAATAATATCGAGTAGTCATGTTAAGTCATTTAATTTGAACAAGGGATAGTTAAAGGCGAACTTATTGCGTGTATGTATGTATTGTATCGTTACATACCAATTCGATAAATAACAAATTTTAATACGTATTGTTGAAAATTTTAACAATGATGAGCCATAATCTTACTGTTGAGATTATTGATGCACACACTGGCACACTTGATACGCAAGAATGGTACAATATGGATATCAATGGATCACGTGAATACGTGTGACACTGCTGAATCACGTTAATACGTGACTCTGCTGAATCAATATATATGTCACGATATATATATCATACATAAGATTAAACATTGTAAAAAATTAAATAAATATAAAAAATTTATATATAATGCTAAATTAATCAATAGAAATATAAAAAATTTCGGATTCTTTAACTATAGATATGATATAATACATCCATATACCACAAAATGTATACCTAATTTAAAAAACTTTATGTATAAAATACATTTTAAAGAAATTCATGAAAAAGATTAAAGCATTAATCTCTGTAAATAATTCTGTAAAAAAATATTATTATTTAATAAATATAGTAAATAAAACAATTTATATACTCTTAGCATAAATACATCAAGAGCACCTCACTAAAAGAGAGAGAGAGAGAGAGAGAGATACAATATTTCAGTCGCTTATATTCTTTTCTTAAAACACGCCGATACCTGAAAATATATGAAATTCCTTTCGTAATCCTAAGTGAAATTATATGATTTTTATTGAATATCTTATTATTGTATACGTGTAAATAAAATACAGGAATTAAATGTAGGAATAATTAATTGAAAATTCAATTTACATACCATTTTCCACGGATGTTTCTATCGGAAGATTTGATGGTTTTAAAAAGTGTGTCAATATAATATGATTATAAGCAATATTTATTTCATGTATAGTATTTTCTAAAAGTTCATCAAGAGATCTCTCATCCTTTACAATTGATTTATCAGCTATTAAAGACAGATTTAAGTTGCCTCCATAACTTAACAGAGAAAAGCCGAGAGCAGTAGTACTTCTGAAAATGAATCGTGATATACATATGTCGCTACAATGCACAATTTTATTTGTTAATTATTTTAAAAAACGATAGTGACGATACGATACTTGTTTGGTATCCAGAAGATAATATTGCTCAAGAAATTATTTAAAATATGAATTTTTTCTGGCCCGCACATATTGCTAAACACCATCGTGTTGTGACTTAAAAGAAAAGCCTTTAAAATTTTTCCCGGTAACAGCGCCGATAGATACTTCATGATCCAAAAATTGAGCAAGATGTCTGAACTCTTTCTGAGCTTATTATTTGTTCTTGTAATATCTTGAAGACGCTTAAAAAATTGAGAATCTCGATTTGGCTCGATGATTGTCTGTCCGTTTGCATTAGAGATACAAATTCGCAACAGAGCGATCGAAAACCTATTATCTAACGTTAAATTTTCATCAGGCATTGACATTCTTATCGGCAAGATAACTGTTAATGCATCGGGAATTGGTTTCTTGAGCTACAAGAAAAATACAGGTTTATATTAAATAACTTTAAAATATATTGATATAATATAATTAAATAATTATCCAAAAATTCTTCTAATTTTTTAGATATTATTTAAATGTATTTCTGGATGTCTCTAGACTTATTTATCGCTTGAAAACTTTACATACGCGTAAATGATATTTGTGTACACTAGCAGAAAAAGCTGCCAATACTACATCTTCAAATTTGGCATCTGTATTTCTTCTTATCTCGCGAATTTTCGTCAAAAGATTCTGCGATTTATTATTTACCACATCGTTATCTAACCAATAGGACATTATTTTTTTACCCGTTTGAGGTTGAGGACCATGCAAAGCGCTATAAAAATTTACATTTAATTATAATAAAACTCATTAAAAATTAGTAATGAAGAGTTGCAAGAAGT